GAGCTCCAAAAGAGCGGAGTGGTCCTCTCAACATGAAAGGAGCATCTTACACAATCACTTCAAAAGCACAGATTCATCCATACATACAATAGAACAAACCAACTAAACAAACATTGAGTTAGAGGACGTTCCTTTCCTGCTGTGTTGACACGCAGGTTAAACATAAGCCTGGTCAGACTAACTCTGAACTAAAGGAAAATGATAAAGGGCAAACCTCTCCACATTCAAGCCTCTTCTTTTCCTAGGCTAAGGAAAGTCCATCACAACCTCTCTGTACTCCAACAGAAAGTAGAGGACCACCCTGAGTGACTCCGCAGGGCAGAAGAATGCCCATCATTCCACTGCTGTTGAAAATTAGACCCGAGATCATACCAGGTCTAAACTTAGCCAGCAGAGATTCACTAGTGAGCTGTGTTTCTATAAGTGGTAAGCTGTGTGTGTGTGTGTGTGTGTGTGGGGGGGGGTGTTACACATTAGTGGGGTAAAGGAAACCACCCACAAACAGACTAAGTCACGCAGAGACACAATGTGAAATAAGTTATCCTCTTTCACATAGTTGGAACACTTATAGAAGAGGAGCGCGAATGAAACACGAGGACGTGGATACACAAGGAGCCGAGACACGCATCTAGTGACAGTGAGCTCAAAGAGGGGCCGGCAGACAAACAGGTATACGGACGCTGATGACAGGCAGGGAATGAGGGACAAATGTGAACAGTGAAACATGCAGCAGCTGAGCCAGTGTAGTGCACCACTCGGTCTCACTCCAGCTGCATTCCTGGCCTGCCTGTCTCCTGTGTAATGCTGCCTCTATGCACATTCCTGGGCTTCTATGTGGCTGGGGACAGTCGATGCATTAGTGAGGCTTCCACTACATCAGGGACAGACACAGAGCAACCTCCTGGCATGCAAGCTGAGCAGCTATTGACTGATGTGGGATGAAAGTCAAACAATGTCCCTCCCTTTTCACCAAAGTGTGGAGCAAGCTGAAAACAGCAGGCGTGGTCAGTGGCTGTATTTAAATGACAGGTTTAACAGTCCAAACACATCAGTGGGATTAATAGTTGCAGGGACTAAAGACTTCACACAACATACGGTAGCTCCAATAGAAAAACACGCTCATGCATTGTGTTTTGACTCTGACCCTACAATACAAGGGATTAAAAACTGTGCAAGCAGCACAACAACACAACAGCAGCGTGAACAGGGAAGGCATTGTTGAATGTACAAAGACAGGCAAGGCAGGCCGACACGGAGAAGAAAAGGAAAAGTTTCCAAACCTAACAAAGCCAGTACAGTCTCCAGCCCACCCCCCTCCTCCCAGACTTCCCCTCTTTCCTCCCTCACTTCACTCAAGAGAGGAGGAAATGAGGTAAGCATCCTGGCATTTCTGCTCAGCTGAGAGAGCTAAGAGCTCAGGAAGAGGGCGTGAAACAGAAAGGAATGAACTGTTAAATTGGGAGTGTGTGATACATTTCCCCTGGTAACGCTGGAGAGACAAAAAATGAATACACAAATGTCAGACAATATACACTGTACCTGCCGAATATCACAGCAGCCATCCCTTCCATAGCTCGTTACATTAGTAGTAACCATCTATTGTGTATCCTTATTATTTTCTAGGCATCTTGAATATGATGCGGTTTTGATTTCTCCTGAAGGAGGTGTGTTTGTTCAGCCCCACACACACACAACATCCTCTGAGGCCATGAGTGGATGACTTTCAGTTTGTGCTTCAAATGTCCTCTTTACGCACACCTCAGAGAGTTAGCACAAACAAGAATTTGCTTCACAATAGTGTGGAGATCAGAGAAACATCTCAGCCAGAGACAGGTACGAGGAAAGCCCTAGTTGAACAGTACAGCTGAAATGCAATCACCTGGCCTGTCCCTCCTCGTGACCCATCTGCCGTCCTATGCTCAAACACAAGAACTTGTCACCAAGCAGCACCAAAGTGCCGGACTGTACACATCAGTTGTGATCGTACTGTGTTTATGCTTACGACCAAAGAGAGCATCTTCAGCAGCCAGAAGGCCTTGTGTCTCATCGATTTCCTGCTTCTGCTGTTACCGTTTTCTTGTTCCTCAAAAATGTCTCCAAGCAATTATCCAATCACGGCTTTGCAAAATGACCATAACACGCCTGTCAAGCTTTAGATTTGTCAATATTCTGGTATGCAGGAGGCATTAGTAAGATCATCACTCATTATCCAGATACTAGAGGGTGGTGCGATGTTTTGCTTTTCCAAAACCAAAAGCACATAAGCAAAAGTGTAAGGAATGAATTAAACTGTGTGTTTTTCTGTTCTAATGTAAGCAACTAACATTTAGCATGCCTAGCTGACTATCTACAGTAGTAAAGCTTTGTATAGAGATGTCAAGAGCTGATCCTAAAAACCGATATCTGGCCAATCTGGGCATATTTTAATGGATCAGTATTGACTCAAATAAAGCAGATATATTTTACTGGCGTCAACCGAAAAAGGAAGACTGTATTATTAAATTATTAACACCTGTTGAACAAGCAGAACAACAGGGAAAACTTCTGTGGCAGACAAGACTGAGTCAATGAAGTGCTGCGAGTTACTGAAACAGAGTAAATTAAACTAAATTCATTATGTAGAATGTAAAAAAGGACATTCAATTTGGGACAATGGTTGTTAAGTCTGGGACAGCTGAATGTAGAATTTGGAGAGACACTGAGGAAAAAAGTTAATGTGTGTGTTTCCATTGCACCACTAGTATATCACAAAATAGTAATATTTTATTTTGTGATATGTTTTGTACTGTCTTTTACTTTGCTCTATTGCTGCTGTGTCAAACTGAATTTGTCCTATGGGGGATCAATAAAGGTATTATCTTATCTTAGTGTTATCTCAATGAAATGTACTGAAACATATGAGACAAAAAAAATACTTTTTTTATATATATATGTATATATTTTTTTCTTTCTTGCCGATAAAATATGCTTGGCTGCTGGATTTGTCATCTACCAGTCTCCTTGGCCAGTGACCCAAAAGGTTAATTTTGGACACTTCTGCTTGCCTTCCAAGCGCCTGAGAGAAAACATGCTGGTCTTGACAAACACGGCAGTTCAACATGACAGACTCTGTAGAAGAGGACCTGCTCCCTCAGTAGAAAAAACCTCGTATTGTCAGGTGATTATACACTAATGAAAACATACCTATGAAGGTCCTCCTAAATGTCACACACCAACTGACTGCACGTTTAAAGCAGATACTGCATGCAAAAGTTAAATGCTCACACTGATGATGTTATTCAATAAACTATTTTATCACAAAACACATTCTGAACAAAGCCACGTTTGCACAGTTACATGTTGACATTATGTTTTTTTCATGTTAATGAACTATATTCTAAAGATGAACTAATGAAGCCTCTGGTTTCTTCAGATGCATTCATTATCAGGATGACCTCAGTATCTAATTATATATCGTGATAAATATTGTGATCATACTTAACATTCATACATATCACCAGACCTTAATTACCACTGTGACTGAAATCCTCCTCATCATTGTAAACTGGATTTGTGCAGGCATAGCAACAACACAACCAGGGGGCGGGGCTTAGCATACAGTCTGCTGCAAATTGAAATGAAAGCTCAGGAAAGAAATCTGGCGAAACGCTGAAATCTGTCTCGCTGTATTTCTGCATTACAGTTCAGATGACATCCTTTTCAGGAGGAGCTGAGCAATGACTTGCAGTTTGTGGCTTGACCAGATTCATGAATTTCCACTTGACACACTACCAGCTACCACAAGTTGGTCTGACCAATCAAAGACAGACACCCTACTTCAAGGCATCAAAATATGTGCAGTTAAGCACAGTTAGAAAGGGGCATGATCACAGAGATGCATAGATCATCATAATCAATCAGAGCACCCTGATGTGTTGGCCAGGACTCCACCACCTAGCCTTGCAGCTGTGTTTACCATGGAGCAAGAGAGGGAGGTCACACACGTGTCTGGACAAACACACACAGAGAGAACACAGGTCAGGTTGGCATGCTGGGCTAATGACCTTTCTTTGGAAGAGCACACAGGTCTGGACAACAGGCTGCTAAGCCCAGGGAGGCCTCTGGAGGACTGCTCCAACACCCAGAAAATGCAATCAATCTGCTCTCATTAGAGTTTTTGTGAGCAGGCTCCATTAGAAATGTGTAGTTCTGAGCAGACAAAAACAGTGTCAATGATTTTCTACAATTCTTTTCCTAATTTACGATATAATTACTTTTCCCCCCCGTGTTACTGTATACAGCGTAACTGCAGTCTTTGTTCAAACTAACTAGAAATAGGTTACCTAAAGTCTAACTCAAGTGCCCACCCCTTTGTAATATAAACAAATACACCGTATTTAATATAGGGGCTGAAGATTGCAGTGTGTAGGATGGGATGACAGAATATTTAGCAAATATGGAGAATAGTGGGAAACTCAAATAAACATGGTGACATTTTTAAAAAATAAACATCAGGGGTCATAGTCTGACCAAAAACAGGCCACTGTTGGAAAATTTGCTACCTACATAGGCCAGAACCAGAAGCTCCCGCTAAAAAAATAAGGACAAGAAATGGCTCCAAGATTGAGCTATTGAAGGACAAAGTTGTTGCTGTACACAACTACTTTTCAACAGTGAAAGGACATTTGGAGATCACTGACTACCATGAGAGATATGCACAGTGGCATTTTCTATGTCATTTAGGTTCATTTCTCGACATAACCCGACAGCCTCTGGACGGAGCTGTGGTTCCCACAATGCCGAGGACCCAGAGGATGACAGCTCGTGGCCGCATACAGTAATCCTTCCCATTTCTTTCATATACTGCCTTGACGACGGGCCAAATGCAGTGTGTGCCAAACCACACCAAGCATTCAAGTGTTTCTCCAGCCACGGATGATAAGCCAAGCAGAACAACTACACTGCAGGGCAGGTGGGGAAATAAGACACAACTTACACTCTGTACAGTACTCAGCACTCACCTGCACACTGAAACAGAGACGCTCCAACTTCTCTTCCAGATTTAGGCAAGGGCTGATTAATGGCACACACACACCGCAGCTTCATCTGTATAGGTGAATCCCTCCCTAGCATACAAATATCCAAAACACCAACATATATCAGGGTGTTGATCAGGATCAGTAGTTGGTCTCCTTACTAATGCAAAGCTTCACTGCGAGTAATGTATAGTGTCGTCTCCCTCAGCTCAAAGCTGCACATGATTTCTTGCATTTTGTGCACTTTCTATCTAAACTGAGTGGTGGTCTCCATCTTTAACCTATCTATAATGTTCTTACATCCATATTATCTACAGTGACAGGTGTTAAAAGAAACAGCAGGTCGTAACAAAGTCATCTGCCTGTCACCTGACAAACCCCAAAACAGAAGAATACAATTTACAGACTCTTACTAATTTATGTTTTCCACCCAAAGAAATATGGACAAGTATCAGGCAGTCCACCGGAGACATGTCTCACATCTACCACTGACACAGGTCGCCCTTTTACAATGTCACCTAACCCTCTGAAACATCAACTTTTTCTGCTGTTTGCAGTTCATCTTGTCTTTCAATCAGTCCTTTAATCAGTCCTTCAATCAGTCCTTCAGCCCGAGTTGAACACACTGTTGCAGTACTTGACGTTGGTCAAAGACAACTCGACGTCTTTAATGGACTACTAAGTGTCAGGCAAACACGTATCTTAAAGGAGCTGTAACGATTTAACGTTAAAAAAAAAAAAAAGTAATGATAATGCCAATAGCTGGCGTTACGCTGTGTGCTGCTCCTCATCTTCGACTTCTTCATAACGTTACACTGATAGCTAGGTTAGCTAACTTACATTAGTTCATTGTGTTCACTGTCAGTTTACGTCACCTCACAGATGATCACCACCTGGCACACGGGTCCCGACAGAAAACAGGACACACGCCGATAGCAGAATAAAGCTATGAGCCAGTGAAATGCTCCCTGGGTCTCAGTGACGGCAGCCAGCTAACGTTAACTACCCAACACAGCGAGCGTTAGCAGCTGGCTAGCAAGGTTAGCTAGAAACGATGAGAACATACCGTCTGTTGCTGGTAGTGACACTTGTTCCGCAGACGGCAACAAAGACGAAAGCAAACGTACTGCTGTCCAAACACGGTTTTAAGTGAATGAATCTGTGGTCCCGGTGCAGTGCCGTGAATTACTTCCCCGCTGCTACTAGCACTTCTCCGCCTGCCTTCGGTCCCACCTATCCGCTCCGTTCCGTTCCGTTCCGTTTCGAACGACAACAGCTTCTACAGAGCCTCTCTGTTGTTCGATGTTCTCGTTCTAGCTCAGAAATTCAAATCGCATCGCGAGATTTGGACCAAAGTTTCACGGGCCTAATGGTTTCTGCAGGGTCTGAGGTTCACCATCACACTGGAGCTTCTGTCACATTTTCCATACAAAAATAATGTAAACCAGATGTTATCATCATTATTGTTTTTTTATTATTTTCTGTTGGTTGTACAGTATGTTACTTTTTAAATAAAACCCTTTGACATTTAGTAAAATAAACAATAAGAGTACAGCTCAGGGGCTTATAAGGCTTGTCATCTTCGTGCTTGGGGGCTTCAAATAGTTCTCTGCCCATAGCAAATGGTTAAACAGCCACATAACATATCATCTGTCAGGTTAAATAAACAGCCCCTCATAAGTTCCATTTTATTATTAATCTGGAGAGATCCAAGTGAGTCGAACCATCAGGATGAAGACATTTTGTACATTAATTATAACAAATATGGTGTAAACCAGAGTGGATTACATACACTACAGTCAAGCACTAAACTCATTCATGTCTCAGAAATGACTTCCCTTACATCACATGAGTAGCCTATATATAAAACCTTTTTTTTATTTTCAATTGGACCTACATGGGCAGACATTCATATGGTACATGAAAGATGAACAGGCAGACAGGCCAGTGCCAGACAGACACATCTAATCCAAGCTAGAGAGGATTACACGGTAGCTCTGTTTATCATTATTTAAAGGGACACAAGAGGAAGTGACGAATGAGCTGGTGGAATTTTACAGCTCTGCTTATTACTGCCACTCACATACTCACAGACATGTTAGAAACACTCTGTTTACGCGTAGCAGGGATTCCTTACACCAGAGACTAATTAGGGAGGAAAGCTGACCAAAACAAGTTACAGCCTGATCCAGACTGTGGAAATCATGTGATAGCAGGAATCTAGGGTAAGCTGAGGGTTCTTTCACAAATGGGTGCAGTTCAGAGTATATACACACAACGTACATGTTCAGGCATCCTGTAGTTACCAAACATCAGGCTACACAAAAGCTCCGTCCACAGGAACATTTAGCAAAAAATGAAAAAGCATGCAAACCAGCACAAAGACTGCACTGATGATGCTATCAAACAGCAGAGATAAAAGGTATTTACTCAAAATCCTCCCTCTGTGAACCATAAACAGATATGAACAAACATTATAAGAGTCAAAGCTGGATAATCCTATGAAATCCCTGTGGAAAGTTGTTTTAGGTCGGCCATGTAGTGTAGGTTTTGAAATATGCTCACAGTCTGGTCAAGCTTAAACAGGGGCTTGTGAGTGAGCTGGAGTGTCCGAGGAGACAGTGGAAGAGCCTGCAGCACCTATAAAGTTGGACACTGTGGTGGTACATTAAATGGGCTTTTGGTCCAATAACACCGTGAGGTCAGTACAGTAAGCACTGGAGATGTGATGGAAGCACACATCCCAACTTAAAAGGAATGTCTAATGTTCAAAAGCTCAGTTGGAAAGGGAACACTAGAGAGCTTTATCCTCTGTGTCTCCACAACCAACTTCCTGTTGTTCCACTGTCTGAATAAAGGATAACAATTTGGCAGTTTCCCCTTAATAAATGAGCGGCAAAAGAAAATAGGTTCATTGGCTTTTACTTCAGTATTCTCAGATTACAGCACAGGATGCTGCATGAGGCCTGGTATCAACTTTTCAGAAGAATCCAGCCAAAACCATCAGAGATCCTCTGTATACTAAAGAGCGGGCACCTGACTGGGTCGACAGCACGTTAATGTTTCCCACAAATACGACAGCAGCAGTTAGTGTGCCTGCTCCATCATCCTCTCGTCACATTCACGCTTTGTCAGTTCCAAGACATTGTACAAAGTCCCCTCTGCTCTGGTAGGAAGGATTATCTCTGTTTAAAGGAGGGGAGCTGTTGTGAAATTACATTTCTACCACTATTGAACAGACAGCTGACAAATTAAAGGAAAAACCTGAATGAATGAGAGGAGAAACATGACAAATGCAGAGGCTTTCATACAAGCGGTAATGGAAAGGTTTGATGAGAATGACAATGATGTGAATCAATTGAACGCCTATGGGAGAATGGAGACGGTTCCAGAGGCTAGGAGATTTGTGTTGTCTTTTTCCAACCCATCTGTAAATGCCGGTGTCCTTTTTTTAAGTGTAGGAAAGTAAACAGAATTGGCGCGGTAGGAAAAACTTTAAGAGGGTGTGAGGGAGATACAATAAACAGATGACAACCACGAACATAAACAGCGGGCAGAGAACACATGCCAGCTGTGGGGCGCAGTGCCGGTCCTTATAGCAGGGACTGGGCATGGCTTCCACACTGCAATATGCATGGTTAAAGCACTATGGTACTTTAAAAATTACTTTCGAAATGAAATGCCACTCTCTTCATTTTCAAAACCTGTGTCACAAAAACATTTCATCATAAGGCCAATTTTGTAGATTGCAGTGTGAATATAATACAAACAATATTAATCCAGTCTGTAGCCCGTCTATATTGTTGACAAAGTGACACCCTGTACAGTGGAAATCAAGCTGCCACTCAGTCACCTATTCATGCAAAGCTGTCCTACTTTCTGTAAATAACCAGTGTCACTGATGTAGATTAAATCTGCACATTATAGCTGATTTATTAATCCACAGTATGGCATTAAGATAAAAATATATCGACTACTGTGTATTCTACAGAACACATCTGTAAGTCTAGTCTGTAAATCACAAAGATTGTGTAGATAGAAAACTTTCAAAGTAGGTAGACAATTCCAAATGCTTGTGATTTGCTAAGTAACAGTGACACCTGGTGGAAGACAACCACATCATACTCCTAACACTGACTCTCAGGGAAACATCTGTCCATTCACCACAGTTCAATAAAGATTGTTCTGTTTAATAATCAAATTTGTGTCACTATTTTGAGAGATAATAACACTAAGAAATGAAAGGCATTATTTTGAATGAGAATTTATTACAGCCAGCAGTTTACAATACAAATCACCCTCCAAAATGCTCAGCTAACCACCTTCCTGAACATGGCTGATACTCTGAGCAGACACAGTAAAATGACATAAAACAGAGGAATGCATTCAAATTTATAATCTCAATTTTCTATATTTTACTTTTTTTTTTTCAACAAATTTTTATTTATAATCAAGGCCTAGTCAAACCATCCCTAGACCTGGCAGAGTCAATTGTTTTATTCTTTTTTTAAGAAATGATTTATCATTTTGCGATGTTTTCAGAGTTTTAGGTTTTTCAATGTTTAATATTTTTTTCTCTTTTTCCATCGGTGAAGCAGGTTTCAAAATGCTCAATCTGCAAGACAAAAAAGATAAAATATCAATGCTTACGTTGTACTTGATTCAATCATGAGATCTATAATGTTCTTTCATCTCATTTAGAATGTATACAAATAAATCCCCTCCCCACTCACACACCTTAGACACTAGGACCAGCAGGGGTGGTGGACTTCTGAGCAGCCTCCTTGGCCTGGTGGGCCTGAAGCACAGCAACAGCCTCATCCACCTAAAACAAAGAATAAACACTTTATTTAACACTGGATATGAAGCTTCAGCAATAAACCTATTCAAGCAACATGATCATTTAATCCACCGAGTCCAGCCTTGTGAAGATAATGCAACCAGGCTCATGTGAATTTAGACAAATTACCTCTGTCAACAGGCTTCCAGATATATATATACATATACACACACACACAACCACACACACACACACACCTCACAGATTAGCCATTAACTGACCTTTGAGCGCAGGGACTCAGGTGACTCGAGCATGTGGAGAAGCTCTGAGTTGTCGATCTCAAGCAGCATACCCGTGATCTTGCCTGCCAGGCTGGGGTGCATGTTCTGGATCAGGGGGAACAGACGCTCACCTGAAGGAAGAACAGTCATCAACAACTGTTTGAATGTACGACACCAGACTTAATCTATCAAGTAACTTTGTGACAAAGTTGTTTGTGCGTATGTTCAGTTCCTTATAAATGTGTACTAACCCAGCATCTGCTTCTGTTCTGAGGAGGGGCAGCAGGCCAGCATGGAGGCAGTCAGGGGCTCCTGTCCTTGGACATGGACAGCAGGCTAAAGGAGGAAAAGGGTTTGAGTTCAGGGACAAAGTCTACTGTAAAAATTACTGACTACACAGCTACTATTAGTGGGCAACTATCTCAATCTAATCCTACACAACATGAATGAATGCCTAATGCTGGGTATTGTTAAGATTTTATTGAGCAGATTTAAATTGTGCTTATTGATGTTAAATCTAGCCAAATCCAGATTCTTGGCACATTTGAGTATTTTTAGCAGTTCTAAAATGACATTAACAACAATGTGACATATATGACATGTTTGAGATCATGTATGGAGTAAAAAGAATAAATAAGCCCCAATCTTGTAATTGCAATGGATACGTGGCAGGTTCTAGGGCACAGTGACCGTAACTGGTGACATTAAACAAACTGACTGCAGAGTGGTAAAGGAAACCATACCATGCTGCAGTCAGTGCTTTGTCATACTATAGACAACCATGTTTAAACATATGCAAGTCATTAGATTTCACTTTTGCTAAACATGCAATATTGTAAAAACCCTATATTTGCAACCAGCCCTGTAGACTTCTACAATCATTTGTCCTTATAGGACAGTATAGGTTACTTATAGGACAGTAGAAACCAATGGAATTCCTACCTGCTGCATGGCGACCTGTGGCTGTGAGGGCATGTGCTGCTGGGGGTTGCGCACACCTGCAGCGTATTTGTACTGGGGCATGGTGCGCACTGGGGCAGCAGTGGCTGAAGCACCGGTAGGGCGCTGGCCGAGGGCCTGTGTGGCTGAGGTGAGAAAGATGAAAAGGGCAAATCATCAAAACTGCATCAAGTTGACTAACAAGCAATGAAAAACTAAAGAAATAAAGCCGATCATGTGTTCTGAGAGCTGAAACACTTACGCATTCGCTGGGAAGCCATCATGCGTGGCACCTGGGTGTTGGCGGTGGCA